AAACAAAAGAAAAATCCGATATCCAATATTGTTCATGGTCGGTAAATTAAATAGATCTGTATTGCCTAAAGTCCGCATCCGTATCGCTACAGCGTTGGAAATATGTTTAAAAAATATTCTAGTCGTGGACTTACATAATAACATATGTCCTGTACAAAGCAGCGATAACTAGACAGAGGGTTGTTCTGTAGATGAGTTTTGACAATAGAAAGTGCGATTAGTTTTCTTCAAACGACAAACTTCTTTAGCTTGTACTATCTTTAACTAGAAGGGAATATTTAGCACATTTTCAAAAAGCTTGAGAGAATTGGAGGGATTTGTTCATATTCATAGCGACAGTGTTTAATCAAATGGCGAGGTAGCACATTACATTTCTGAAAATAGTTAAGATAAATTTAAAACAAAAAGATTTGGATTTAATTTTTTTCCCAGTAAAGTTATCACCCTGACCATTCATGGGTACCAGCTTATCGTTAAATTTCGGGACATGTTGTATAAAGATTCATGTTATAAATAACAATGCAATTGGTTATTTGCTTATGTCACAGCGATGGCTAATACAACATTAGGTATTTTAAACAGTACACATTACAGTACATTATTTTGGACGCATGGACAAATAGTCGAAAACCTAATTTTTTTAACACACTTGCGCTTAAATTATAGCTATTGAAGACCCCAGTCTCCACAAGTGCGAAATCACCTGTTTGATGTTTATGAACTTTATAATTTTTCTAGTATACTGCCATCTTGCGTTCAAAAGTACTATTAGTACTAGGTACTAGTAAGACCTTTAATTTTTTGATAGTTTAACTACCCGACGCTAGATGGCATATTATTATTACAAATAAGGCCATACTGAAATATTTGTTAATAATTTTTATGTAATTTTATAAGGAATTTATGTTAATTTATATGTTTTGTATTAGTAAGTCGTAATAAATGTTGTAATTAAGAAATTTGTGTTTTTTTACATCAAATTATTTTCCTCTAATAATGTAAATAAAGAAAAATGAAACCATAGACAACGACATTCAGGCAAGTTCTTTGCCATGTTGGTTGTTTTGATTTTTCTGAAAATGTCCTCTATTTTGATAAAGTTTTTTCGTAATGATCTATACGACCCTGACTCTATTTTCTATACACTTTGGTCACGTTTACAATTAATATAATACCTCTATGAGAATTAAAAACATTTATAAAATACAATTAGTAATATTTAGTTTAATTTGCCACAATTTGCATACAAATTACTGAAATGTGTTCTTGTAGACCATCCTCAACATCTACGCCAAATTTCACGTAGATCCGTTTAGGCCACAACATCTAATAAACATCCATCTATCAATCTAAACTTTCGCATTTATAACAGTAAGACGTTTTAACAAGATATTAGTGATGATGTGAAAAATGTTTTAAGTAAAGTGCTATGCCACCTCTATATATTTGAAACTCGGCCTGTAATCACTGCAGTATATTGCAGAGACAAAAAGAATGGCATTGTGTGTACTATGATATTCATTGTAGTAGACTTTAAATAACTACATTTCGGTAGTGGATTTCCACAGCAACCCCGCACACAATCTTTGTGTTCCAATTAAAAATAAACGACAAATATCCGTTTTTTTTTTCAATAAAAGTTTCTCTTCAGGCTAAATATGCCGAGAGAATTTATATCTAATGTTATATACGACTGTGGATAGCACAAGACATGAAGCAGTTTTTCTTTATGCATGAATGCAGCGTGCATTACGTTAAAAGTGGTTACAAACGCAACTATATTTTACTACCTAGCGTTCATATTTATATGTTAAGGGAAATAAAAACAACTTCTAATATAAACTTCTTTTTTTTATTCCAACTTATAACCGTACATAATATACACAGTACAAAAAAACATGCTTCGTCTAATGCAGCAATAAGGACAAAATAAAATTGTCGCATATCTCGTTTAACTATGCCTTTTGTAACATACCAAACAAATTGAGAAAACTAATATTATAGGAGAAACTTATCTACACATAACAATGTACAATGCTTCGAGCGAATACGTTTTCACTTCAATACAATAACTTAAAAGTTACTTCTTAATATGTACTCGATGGAATTCGAATTAGTCAATTTACACATTACATACACTATTAACTACAATTAAGCTGAAACTTTGAAAAGTTTTTTTTGTAAATCATTTAAGGAACATAAAAACATCCACGTCTCAACGATATCACCATATTCAGACTAATTTACATTGCACACACACCGCCGCCGCGCGACTGCGCCGGCGCAATCTTAAGTTAAATGCGGAACTTAGCGATTAACGTTACGTTCGAGGTTGAGATCAATTGGGGAGGGGCGGGGAGGGCGGCGAGGAGCGGCGCGGCTTCACTTCTCTTCCAGCGCCTCCTCCAGGCAGCAGAGGGAGTCCTTGACCGCGTGGTAGACGATATTCTTGATCTGCA